AAAAAAAAAAAAAAAAAAACACATCATACTAAAATTAATACCTTCTCAGCTTCGCATCGAAGCTAAAAATAATGGATTATTCCAAAAGCATCATGATCTCCTATTTCCTTATTTATATTCTGATTACAAGTTTTATGATTTATAAGTGTAATATATGAATAAATATTTATTACAGCAATTCAACGTAGTATGGAAGTTGATATTTAATAATTTAGTATTGTAATTTTTATGAAGAAACTAGAAAAAATTATAAAGTAGTGATTAATTTTATGGCAAACGTTAATAAAAGTTGAAGGATTTGATGCAATACTTAAAATAAAAATTGATTGTTATTTATAAATAAATTTACTGGTCTACAAGGAATTTTCATTCGACCAAAATATACTTTTCTAAACCCATTCTTGCACCGATTTTAAATCTGCACTTAGAGATTCACATATTGCCTAAATAATAATAAAATCTTTCTAATTAATATAACAAATATTTATGTTTGATTATTAGGTTACGTATAAGTAATCAATAAATATATTTTAATTAAAAATATTTTAAAAGTTCTACTTTCTATACGCATTTTTAAGTTCACATATAATAAAAATTGATCACTTGTGGCTAATTAATTAAGTAAAATTAAAACTATATTAAAAATATTATTAATTAAAAAAACTAAAAAATATTAAAAATATTAAACTCAAAAGCCACAAAAAAATTAATGAAAAGTCGCGGATACGTATTTCGGAAACAATGTTACCATTATCAACGCTAAACACATACTGACACCCCGACTAGAAAAAACTCCCTTATATACCCCTAGTGACCTTATCACCTAGTGACGTTATCACTAAGTAATATTATCACATTTTGCCAGTTTACACAAGTTTAATAATGAATTTTTCAGTGGGCCAAGATCCCAATTAATTAAATTGTTTTTATTTTTAAACATTTCTATTGCTTCTCTGATATTAAGTTCTTTGTAATTATTTACGTTTTTAATTAGTTTTATGGTTTTAATAGAGTGATTATGTGTCAATAAATGTTCAGCCACTGGAGATTTCTCAATTTCTTGATTTTTAATATTTCTTAAGTGCTCTTTAAACCTGACCCCTATATTTCTTTTTGTTTGTCCTAAGGTCACTGATAAGGTCACTAGGGGTATATAAGGGAGTTTTTTCTAGTCGGGGTGTCAGTATGTGTTTAGCGTTGATAATGGTAACATGGTTTCCGAAATACGTATCCGCGACTTTTCATTAATTTTTTTTTGTGGCTTTGAGTTTAATATTTTTAATATTTTTTAGTTTTTTAAATTAATAATATTTTTAATATAGTTTTAAGTTCACCCCTGTAAAAAGGGGAAATGGTCCAATTTAAAAAAAAGTATGTAGAATGAATGAGGTATATAAATGGTATTTATCATAATAAAATAGTATTGATCCATATATTTTTCAAAAAGTTATAGAAATATAAAGTTAAAAATGTAAAATATAAAATTGAGAATTGTAACACAAAAATAGCATATGGTAGCCATATTCAACGTGAAGACTATATTAAGTCCGAATTTTTTTTTTTTAAATCACAGTAAAATACATCAGCTTTAATTTAAGTTATATATAAAATTGAATCCCCCCTCGTGAGTAGGTAAAGGGTTAAATTTATAAAAAAAAATATATAAAATGATAGGTAAATACCTCATGTATCTATAAAAAAAATTATATTGATTATGTCATTTTGAAAAGAGTTAAGGATTTTTTAAATTAAAAATCCCAGCACAGTGGGGACATGGCATAGTTGGGTCAAATATAATGATATCTGACAATGATCAAAATCATTATCATAAAAAACGCTTCGATGTAAATTTGTAGATAATGTTTAATTTAAAAAAAATGATGAATTATTCCAAAAGCTATATGATCTCCTATTTCCTTATTATATCCTGATTACAAGTTTCATGATTTATAAGTGTAATATATGAATAAATATATAAAGGATATAAAAGAATTGGTTTTATTTAAAAAAAGTATGTCGAATAAAAGAGTTATATAAATAATATTTATCATAAAAAAATTGTATTGATCCATAAATTTTTCAAAAAGTTATAGTGTTATAATGTTAAAAAAACCCAGCACAGAGGGGTCCCGGCACAGTGGTGACGTGGCATAGATGGATCAAGTATAATGATATCTGACAGTGATTAAAATCACTATAAAAAAAAACGCTTCAATGTAAATCTTTAGATAGTGTTTAATTTTAAAAAATTGGTGAATTATTCCAAAAGCTACATGATCTGCTAGTTCCTTATTAATATCCTGATTAAGATAAAGTATGTCGAAGGAAAAAGGGATTATTAAAAATTATTATTTCTCATACAAAAATAATGTTGATCCATACATTGTTCAATATGTCATTGCATTATCAAGTTAAAAATGCAAAAAATAAAATCGAGAATTTTCACACAATAATAGCATTTGGTAGCCATTTTCACGGTGAAAATGGCTACCGAAATTTTTTTTTTTTTCATAATAAAGTATATTACATTAACTTTAATTTAAAATATATATAAAAGTGTCAGACCTTCCGTCACATTTTCAAAAATTAAGTTGAAAAAATTAATTTTTTGTGAAAAAGTTGTCATTTTAAATCCCCCCCTGTGGGCCAGTAAAGGGTCACATATAAAAAAAAAATATACCAAATGAAAGGTAATGATATCATGCATCTATATAAAAAAAATAATATTGATTTGGTTATTTTTAAAAAAGTTTTAGTAAAAAAAATTGAAAAAATTTCGAAAATTAGCGATTTTTAAATTTGTAATTTTTTTGGAGGTTTCCTCCATTTACGGGGAACAAGGGAATTTTTTTCAATTTTTGAGGGTAATGTCTTCGACTAGATACAATTTGTGAAATCGGTTCGGTGAGAGCTGAGAAAAAGTGGTAACAGACACAAAAAAAAATCTTAGTAAAACCAATACCTTCTCAGCTTCGCATCGAAGATAATATAAAAAAGAATTTTTTTACAAAAATCGTATTTTTTTTTTTTTAATATTGATGTTCGTTTTCACTATGAAAACAAAGTCCGAAATTTTTATTTTCATAATAAAGTATATTACATAAGATTTAATTTAAGATATATATATAAAAATGTCAGTATTTCCGGAACACTTTCAAAAATTAAGTTGAAAAAGTTCTTTTTTCTATATGCATTTTTAAGTTTTGAACCCCCCCTGTATTCAGGGAAATGGTCCGATTTAAAAAAAAAAGTATGTCGAATAAAAGAAGTACATAAATATTATTTCGCCTAAAAAAATTGTATTGATTCATACATTTTTTAAAAACTTTTAGCATTTTAAAGTTAAAAATGTCAAATATAAAATCGAGTATTTTAACACAAAAATACCATACGGTAGCCTTTTATACTGTGAAGACAAAATAAAGTTTTTTTTTCAAATTAAAGTATATTACATTAGCTTTAATTTAAGATATATATAAAAGTGTCAGACCTTCCGGAACATTTTCAAAAGTTATGTTGAAAAAGTAAATTTGTTGTGAAAAAGTTGTCATTTTAAATCCCCCCCTGTGGGCAGGTTAAGTGTCAGATTTACAAAAAAAATATACCAAATGATAAGTAAAGACATCAAGCATCTATATAAAAAAAAATTATATTGATATGTTCATTTTTGAAAAAGTTAGAGCATTATTAAGTTAAAAATATAAAAAAAAATTATTTTACAAAAATCGTAATTTTTTATTAACTTTGATGTCAACTTTCACCACGAAGACAAGTCCAGAGGTCAAATTTTTTTTTTTCAAATTAAAGTATATTACATAAGCTTCAATTTAAGATATATATAAAAGTGTCAGACCTTCCGGAACATTTTCAAAAGTTAAGTTGAAAAAGTTCTACTTTCTATATGCATTTTTTATATTTGAAGCCCCCCCATATATAGGGAAATAGTCTGATTTAAAAAAAAAGTATATCCAATGAAAGATGTATATAAATACTACTTCTCATGAAAAAATTGTATTGATCCATACATTTTTTAAAAAGTTATAGCACTTTAAAGTAAAAAATGTAAATTATAAAATCGAAAATTTTCACACAAAAATAGCATTCGGTAGCCGTTTTCACCATGAAGACAAGTCCAGAGGTCAAATTTTTTTTTTTCAAATTAAAGTACATTACATTAGCTTTAATTTAAGATATATATAAAAGTGTCAGACCTTCCGGAACATTTTCAAAAGTTATGTTGAAAAAGTAAATTTGTTGTGAAAAAGTTGTCATTTTAAATCCCCCCCTGTGAGCAGGTTATAGGTTGAATTTACAAAAAAAGTATACCAAATGATAGGTAAAGACATCAAGCATCTATATAAAAAAAA